ATTATTTTTCACGGTCTACGGTCGGAGTTCGTAGGTAGGCGGCTGTCTTAACTTAACTTAGGTAGTAATCACTGAAACGACCAGTGATTACCAAACAAAAAGATAATTTGAGATATAGCGTCTGGAAATAATTTTACTAAATTAAAAATTGTAGCAAACTAGTTTAAAAATGTATAGCAGTGTACACTGCGCAACCGGTTAATTTTAAACCTATCAGTTAAAAATTAAAAATTGTTTTATACATATTTATTATTAGACTTGTTAATATATTCCGCTAAAAATAAAACCATTTGAAAAATATTGTTCAATCTCTTTCTCACAATTGTTTATGGCTGAACTAATTTTGAACGTGCTATTATGATTTGCTATTCATATAATATCAACGGTTCAATATTTAAAACTCGAAAAAAGCTGTAATTTCAGTGATTTCTCCAATATTTCCATGGTGGTATTTAATGATAATTAAAAATGTATCCGGGTTGCCTTATGCGCCAAAAAACTGTACCAAATTTTTTATTAGTTACTAATTTAAAAAATGTACCAACTATACATGTTTATTTTACACGAACAATAATTATTGGTTTTTCTTTTTTATCGCTCGGAGATGTGTTATTTTTCAATCTTTCACTCCATGATAGCTAATATATATATACATTACACTAATATATAAAAAATTTCAATCAGACGGACGGTAGCCGACACGCGTTCATAAGTATAATAATACTGAAACTATCCTCTTGCCCCTCTTCGCCAAAGTGTAGATCATTCATGACACACTACACTACGAAAGATAAGTGGAGCAATTATTATTGGTAAATGTAATACACATGCTAAATGAATGCATATACATTTGTAATATATGCATATAGAATAATATTTTTAACGGGGCCACAGAAGTGAGTGTCGAAGTTTGTAAGTAAAAATATGCTTTTGTCTCCTCGGGCACAAATATTACCTATTTATAAAACTATTAAATGTATTATATTAGTAATAATAATAAACTGCGAGGCGTTGTTCGTCACCAGTATTTCTATTGAAATTAACAACCGTTCTAGAAACGTTTTTTTAAACCAGTTTTCCGCAATTTTTATAGGAATATTCACCATAAAATATAAACACAAATATATCTATACTCTGGTGGTTAGTATTGTTCTTTGATAATATATGACACTCGTAAGAATACAAGAACATTCGTAGACATCGGTTTGGACGTAGAACAATGACGTTATATTTTCAAACTACACGACTTAGATTTATTATTATGCAAACAGTGATACCCCCCAAAGATAATATTCGTCACGTTTTCTACTAAGCTCATTCACTTTCGATGTAAAGTATGTGTCGTCTATGGACTTAAGTACGCGAATTATGGTCAATATTATTTTAATGTGAACATTTTTTAATTCATTCTTAGAACTCGCTTCAAGTATAAAAATATTTATTACAGTTATCGAGTTCATCTAAATTATGTATTATTAAATTATCGTATACATTCTAATTTTAAATAAATAATTAAGAATCATTTTAATTATGAAATATTTAAAAATTTGATGAACTTAAATTATGCGTATTAAAAATCTACAGTATTTGGTTCGATTAATTGTCCAAACCGTTCCATTTAAACAATTTTAGCGAGTAGTATTTTAAATATTTCTCATAATTTCTTCTTTATTTCAATTATTACAGTGAATATTTGCATAACAAATTATTATTATTGATGAAAAACTATATTTAACCAAACTTATTCGTTAAAAAAATATTCAATCTTTTATGTCCATTTGATGAATGTTTTAAGTCTCAATATCTGATGATCTATTATTGTCCTACATTAGTATAGTAACAAAAACCAACTATTTAACAAGTGCGTTATTGATTTTAAGACTTACTACTTAGCAAAGAATGAATATTCAGAAGGGAGTTAAAAATAATATATGAAGTAAACATCTGGTAATCAGATGGTACAAATAAGTGAAGTATTGACGTTAATTGTTTTATAATAAAGAGAAAACTTCTTTTTTAACCTAGTGACATTACATAGATCATGATTTCGGATCGTGAGCATGTTCTATATGCATTTCCTAGTAAAATGAAACGAGTATATTTATACGCTTGTCAGTCGATTATGCCTCAGTATTATTACTTCATCGTTTCAAATAAATAAATGAAGTAATCGTTTAGACTCATCGTGTTTATTACTTTTGAGTCATTCAGTCTTCACTGTATAATTAACACACGCACGTGTGTATAAGTTGTAGTTGAATTATAAAAAGTCCGAATTACCTATTTTGATATTACTCCTTTTATTATTATTTTATGAAAGAATTTCGACAGTTGACGGTCATACCTAATAATTATTGAAAAATATAATTTTTAATTACACAGTATAACACTAAACCTTGAGTCAAAAGTAAATAGACTAAATTTAAAAATGGGTAAATACATTAAAAATTGGAAAATTCTTTCTTCGTTTGATGTTTGTGCAACTGTTGCGCACAGAAATTAGTTTTGTTTGCTATGAAAATAAAATGTACATTTAAACGTAAAGTTTGTTGGTTTAGTAAAAATAAACTTGTGAGTGCTGTATGAGACAGAATTCAATGATTTAGCGTTGCCGCATCGCTAACTAGTTTTATAAATAGGAAAATCCATTTAAAAGTAATGATTGTTTTTTGCAAACATAATAATAGGGATCGAACACAAGAACAAAGTACGTAAAAAGCAAACATCCCGCAATATATTGTTTAAGTGCTTCTTTCGCCATTATACTCCGAGATGGTGGAATGCCAGTAAACTCCATATGAAAAAATAAACGGACCCCCTGAGAATATGCGTTTGAACACTTTAATAGTTACATTATTGGCGATGACTAGCTTGAGGGAGAAGAAGGTTAAATGATATGCACGGTCACGTACGCATCAGAGAGACAAGAATGAAAACATTACTTATTCAGAAAAAAAACGTAGACTGAGAATTACAATAATAATAATAGTAATGATTGATGATGATGTAATGCGTTGAGTGAACTTCCGATTGAATATAGAGCCCCACACACAGCGTCTATTATTTTACATACAAATTGAAAAAAAACGCACGTTTAACCCAAACATGACGTTAAGGTCAGGGTTGTGATCAAATTATATGTAATTTTAATTCCGTTCTTTAATTCATATAGTATTTTCCATATTGCAGTAGTAATTTATTTTACCTATCAACGTTATAATTATGTTTAACATACTTATTTTGATAGCGGTAATCTATTCTCGGGAACCTTATGTCATTATGATTTGTGATGTTCAGAAATTTGAGTTTGTTCCAACATAATATTCACATTCGTGTGTTGGATTTATCTTCTTTTTTGGTCTTTCGACAAAAGAAACAGATTTATATTAATGTTACACTTTGTAATGGTGACGAGTTATAATTTCTAGATGTTTTTAATTTTTTTTTCCGGACAATAGAATAATAAATCACAACACTTTTAGATACATCTCATTCGATAAATATACTCGTATAAATATTTTCATGGCGAAGAATTATATCCAATCTGTACGTACTAACATGGTGTACTTCTTACTTTAATTCCATTTTAAAACGTAAAATTTTGAGGAAAATTGATGATTTGTAACAGTACCAGATAAAACAAAGAGGAATTTCCAGACTTACGAACGAAATTAAACGAAGGCAAACGTGAGTCACATATTTGATGAATCACTTTATGTGTATTTGTAGAAATGGATTAAGTTTTGTAATTAATGTTTACTTTCCTATACATTTACGTTTTTTGTCAACGTCGCGGGATCATTCGTCGCAAATGTCATCGCCAATATTTTAAGTTATTTAGCTATTGCTCGTTCACTTCTGTAATTCCTCCAATATTTAGTTTCCATAAATTATTTGCCAGAAATATTATAAGAGATCAAAAGAGTGTCAACGGTAAAATAATCAAAAATATTTAAGGTTTCCGTTCTGTTATGGTTACGGTTTGTAGACAATTTTGCCTGAGGTCAGATGAAGATTATTTGTTCTCTTTGAGAAAACGCGATAATTGTCCGTGATTATTATGCGTTCGGGCTGAAACGGAAAATTTTTTTCCCGAGTTCTATAAAAAAAAACCTTTGTTCGTGCTTTCTGTTTACCCTCTGGACGTCGCTATGCACGCAAGTAAGTTCACACACATTAAAAGCGCATGCGTTTGTCTACACGTGAAAACAAATACAAACAAGCAAATATTTGTGAATTCTTAGGAAAGTAACAAAAATGATTTCATGACAATATATCTCACGTGTTATAAGATAATTGTAATTTTTTTAAAATAATATAATAATAACGGATGTATTTACAATAATTTCATAAAAAACTTGTAATGATTTCCTGTTTACCCAATTATTTTAATTATAATATTAAAACCATTTTTAAACTTATTTAAACAATTAAAAACGTTTTAATTAACTTTGTGCGTAGAGTTAAATTAATCAAAGCACTTTTTATGAATAGTTATAATTTGTCAGTTTAATTATTTTTTTTTTTGTAATTGTATTTGTACATTATTGATGACATGTTATTCGAGAGAGTAACAGAAAAAAGCAAATTTTTTATACGTTTATTATAATTCTCAAAAATAATAAATTTATTTTCAATAGTTTTATTTATATTTAAAAATGATAAAAATCTTAAAACTTTTCTGTATAATAGAGAAAAAAATATATTTTTTCTAAAACGTTAGCTATTTGACGATTTTCTATAGGTTTAATTATAAAAATAATACACTATAGTAACACTGTAACTATAAAATCAATAAATATTAAATTTGAACTTAAGAGTTACTCAAAACTTAATCTATTTAATTATTTCAAAAGATATATCCTAAATACATTGCTGTGCATCCTTCGATTAATATTATTATTACCATATATTTCATATTTAATAAGTTATTTTTTACTTGTATGTTCTTCAAATTAATTTATTAGTAGGTACACGAAAATAAAGAATTTTACACTAACCTGTTATCCTGAAATAATATAAATGTTGTAACTACAAAGCTTATTTTTTTATGTCTGTAGTAATTTACAGGAGCTGTTTCGCAAACGAGCGTAAAGTGAAACTACTTCGCAGTGTAATTATTTTTTATTAACACTTGATAATGCTAAACTTCGCAAAGTGGACGCCGAAGATCTACTGACTGGTGCGGATACTAAGGTTAGGGAACGCGACGTGCACTAGCCACTCATCTCTCTGAGCCGGTACATCTTCGTTCGAGTAGGAAATACAAGAGGGCGGGCAATATCGTTGAAAAAAACACACACATTCAGTTATCCTACCGCGATCCACGTTTTGCTAGTAGTAATTACATTCGATAAAGAAATGTGAAAGCACTTGTATTGTTTTTCATCAGTTTAAGGTCTTTAAACTGTTTGCACACAAATAAAACACCTCATAACGTGTAAGAAAATATTAATTAAATGCCGTTTAAAAAAATAAATAGACCGATAAAAGAATAAATTTAAAACTAATTGTAAGATAACACCTCTTCTCCACATTTTTTTATTTTATTCTTCGTTTTTTCAGTTTCGGTTCGCTGTTCAAGTGTAATAATAAGTGGTAAATTAACTGTTATTAATTGCCAAAAATATATGTTGAGTTTATGAAATAACTCCTAAAAGACTAGAAGTTTTGTAGTGTATAGTTGATTTAGATTAGGTTTACTGAGTATCATTTCTTCGGCGTAGAATCAAAGAAACGTAACGAACAAAAAATAAAATGGATATTTTCAAAGAACTTTATTAAACTATTTTCTTTGGGATTTTACTTTTAAACCATGTAACATTAGAGGTACTATAACTAAAGTTATAAATTCTAACTCAAATAGTTCTATCGTTGTAACAATGAATTCTACGACATAACTAAATAATTCAGTTTAAAAAAATAAAAACATATTTTTGGTTAATATATTCCTCTGATCCTACTCCCATGACTTCTCTTTGGAGAATAAACCATTACACTGTACACGGTCATGCCTTCAAAAGACTAATACTTGAAATCAATAGCATTGGCTTGAAAATATAGCACAGTGTTTATTTTTCCTGTATGATAGAATAGGGAGTTGTTATGATAGTTGTTTCTGGCCTTAGGGAGAGTTGTAGAAATATGTCGTTGATTAGAAAGCCACCCCAATGCGCGAGGGGATCGACGTGTTCTTCTGAAAAGAGCATAATTGCACTTCTTTTTATCGTTAAAGGTCAGGCGTTTGTGTGTACACTCCCAAATTTCATGACTTAATTTTTACGAATTTCGAATAGCAATAAAAATTATATTGTTTAAAGGCTTTGTTGGCATTAAACATTAAATTGTTTATTAGTTTTCTACGTAATAGCTTGCCCAGTATGCTGAACGTAGTCAGGATTCTTTAGATTAACCATCGCCACCATAAAGGTCTCTGATTTTTTACTGCTTACAGAGTATTACTTTTACGATGGTTTATAAAATATAATTACCATACGTACCAACAAATCTTAACGGGATTTGAGATTGCAACTGAATTTTTTAAACGTATATGGGTAGCATACAAGAGTTAGGAAGTTAGATCGTACAAAAATAGTAGTTGTGTGAAAAACGCATTATATATCTGATATATTATATGTTTACAGTAATATGGTATTATATGTACTTGTGTGTGCGTTATCCGATACCATAGTCATGTTTGCCACAGAGTTTTGATTTTTACACCTTTATTTTAGATTTGTTTGTATTATTATATTATACTTTCATAAGACTTCATTTAACGATTCAAAGTAATTTATTGTCCTTACTATGATTACTATATTTCTTTTATGAAAAAGTGTCTAATAGTTTCTTATTATAGCAAATAAAAATTAATGAAGAATATATGGGAATTTAACTGTTACCATCAAGAAAATATTGGGTCCTACATTGAGTTTTATTATATTTTAAAAGAATTTATTTAGAATATTATAATTTGAATTATTTTTTTTTTAAGAAATAGCTGCGGTTATTCTTAAAATATTTTTTAAAAATGAAAATTTAAAAAAATAATTGGAATATTATGTAAAATAAATACGAAATAAGTATTTGTTTAAATGAACATAAATTATATTAAATTGTTCCAAAAAAACAAGCGAAAAATTTATAAAACGGCAATAAGTCTTATTTTATTGCACACTTACAAACATTTTTTATGACGATTGAATATCGAAAATGGCAAATATAATCATATTGTGGACTTTAACATTAATATTACCTGTACCATTATTGAGTCTTTATCCTCCAGTCCAGCCAAAACAATATGAAAAGGTACTGAACATTTTATTAAGCTCACCAGGGTGGAAGAATTTGAGTGACATTCGTGTAGTTACCCGTTACAGAAAGATTTTATTTGCTGACATGAAAATAAGTACTCCGTCATCAGATAGTTCATCAGATGAGGATGACTTTAACAATCAAGCAAAACATGCAGGTTATTTTTTTTTTTGTAAATATTCTCAAATAATGGTTGGTAGCTCAATGTTTATACGATATATGATTGACGATTGTGAACATATAAAGTTAAAGGAAAATGATTTAAAAAAGTGTTTAAATGAGGTTGACAAATTTATATACAAATGGAAAACAGATATTTTACCTTTAGTTCTCGATGGAATTTTTCAAATAAGACGGTTTAGTGAGTTATGTGATAAACATTTGATTAACGAATTCCATCAATTTAATATTAACAATGAAAATTTTGAAAAAATTATACCATTGGAATTAGAAAATGTATACGACTACATTGATTATGTCATGACACCTTTAACAGGAATGGCAAACAATGTATTGATATTGAACTGTCAATTGGATATAAATGGACTTCCGTTACTTGAGAAACTTGAAAAAGAACACCAAGAAGCCATTGATAATAAACAAGCAGTCTATTTTTACCAAACTCTTTCTAAAAAAGCCCAAGATTACTACGATTATTCTAATACTGTTTTAAAAGAGTTGAGTGAAGCATTCAGTCAGATTTCAACAAGTGAATAGATTCATTAAGAAGTAATAAATATTTATATAAAATTAAAATATGTTAAATTATTTTTTACAATTTTTATTAATTTTATTTTATAACTTATATATTGTTTAAATTTTTATATTTAGAATTATAGACGTGCGCAGACCAGGACCTGATTTATCAATTCTTGGTCTGTATAATTTAATGTAGTGTTCCTCTTAAAAATCAAACCATAAATAATAATAATAATTTAAAAAAAACAAATAGTAGTATGTATATGTATATTAATATACATTCAATTTTTTACCGAGCCGAAAATTTTTATTTTGAAAGGATCGTATAAATCATGCCGATTTAATGTTCGTCGTATAAATGTAATAATAAAAATAAAATAGTTTTTAGCTGTATCTAAATTATCAATAATATTCTTTTTAAAAGTTTTACACAAAATTCATTAAAAAAATAAACAGTCTTTCTTTTAGTTTAATAATGATTGTATAAAAATAAATTATGCTTTATGTGTATCGAATTGTTCACAAACATTTTTTAGGATTTGTGTTGTATAACTTGATATCGATCACAATTTTTGTGAGTAGATTGGATTTCGAAAAAAATTGTTTCGAAATAAAAGATTGCTAAGTTTTGACCTTCCGTACAATTTACATTGGATGTTTTTTTAACATTTACATTAAGTTCAAATTCCTAATGAGAAACTTGTATAGTTAATAACAAACTACGTATATTTATTTATACTAAAATTTTGAGTAGACATTTTGTTAGGAAAACTATTTTACAAGTAGACCTTGTAAAGTAGACGATAAGAAGACATTTCACAGATAGACTTGCTGCACATGCTACGCGATATATACTCACTTATATATACACATATATGTGATATAAATAATTACACATATATTATCATACATTTTCTTTAAAAAATATGGAAGCAATTAATATTTTTATGTATACATATCGACTATTTTGCTTTTAATATTGACAGGAAGTATCGATTTATATTTTTTATGAAAAATAAAAATAAAACGTATACATAAATCACAAAATCTTTCTTTTTTTTTTTACTTTTTAGCTTGTTAACATTACTAGCATTAAAGTGCTCTTCATACGGGAGTGGTTTTAAAATATACACTTTTCAACAATAATTAAAGGTTTGGGAATATTGATAATTTTTTTCCTAAATATTTAAAAAAAATATATTAAAACTCGTTTTACTTCACAAAATTATGCAACAAATCAAATAAGATTTTGTATGTCAAAGAGATTAAAAAAATTTTTTTTTAAGATTTTTCATAGCCGCCATCATAAAAACACACTTGTAAATTAAAAAAAAATACTTTGGGACTATTGCTAAATTCCAACATACTTAATGCCGACTTTAAATGTTATAAAACCATTCGCGGATGTCCAACAACAATATATTTTTTCAAACAATCAATGAACTTGGTTCAAATTATCTAGCAAAAGATTTAATATCGATTTATGGAAATAAAAAAAATGCTTTTAATTTTTAATAACATTAAAACTTTAATACATTGAGTGTAGTGAGGTCGTAGTGTACATATAAAAATACACCAGATGTGCACACCTCCACTACATACCCAATCAATGTATTAAAATAATTTTAACTCAATAATTACACATTCTAAAGTTTTTATCGAACCATTTAAACATTTTTTTAAGAAGAAGGCAAGATATATCAAATATAAAATGTTTTTTTCAATTATCGAAAAAATTAATTTCTATTTTTATTCTTATTAGAAAAAATTAATGAAAAATATACTTTTGACGTCTAAAAATGTAAAAATTGTATCATTACAAAATTACAGCATTGTACTTGTCANTTTTTTTTCAATTATCGAAAAAATTAATGAAAAATATACTTTTGACGTCTAAAAATGTAAAAATTGTATCATTACAAAATTACAGCATTGTACTTGTCATATCATCGTGACTTACCCTTAATACGATACCGTTCTAGACGAGCACTGACTGATTGCAGTCATTCTCATTCAGCCCTTTAACTATTAATACGACAACCGATTGTCTGAATAAGCATACCCACTACAATCAAATGAGTACCCAGTCCATCGACCAGCTGTCAGTCGCTGTACAGTTCTGTTACGTTCTCACAAACTACTTGTTTTCAACGTCCTTGTGTACTCTTGTTCCGTTCGACGTTTTAAAGTGTACCTGTGCGGTATAACTATTATTTTGAGAACATCTGTAACTAACTAATTACTTCTCAGCCTATCGGCTAAGATCAAAGAGTGGAATAGTTTTTTTTGACGTTTCGTTAATAAATGAGCTGCTGGTCTGCTTCTTTAATTTTAACCTATGTTGGCTACCGTTCTTCAAACCACCCTTACCAACACCTTATGTCTCTCTGTGTCACTCTGTATAGAATTTTTTAATTTTTGAGGGGCTATTTCTTCAAATGGCTCTAAACCCTGTAGCCTCTCACAAGTTGTGCAAATGTCATACATTTAATCCATAGTTTTTCACTTAGCAAAAGTAACTTTCTTCTAACTTGGGAGAATGTTTACAATTTAGAACCATTTTTATTAATCACTCGTAGAATCTTGTATTTTAACATTTTTTATCCATCAATTTTGCTGATCATTATACACACATTGACACGACCGAGCTGGCTGCATGCCTGGGATGGTATTTAAAATATTATAGGAGTTTTCAATCAAAATATGAGACAATTAGAAAGAAAAGTTTATTAAAAAAATAAAAGGCGGTGTCTATACATCTGTACTGTAAGGGGCAACAAAATACCTTAAACCACCTCTGAAGACAAATGATAATATAATGTTCTATTAAAATCTATTTATAATTGTAATGAATATTGGAATAACTATATTATATTTTAATTTACACAATATAAATATAATAATTAGAGTATATATTACTGGTAAATTTTAATTATTAAATAACACCAAGAAGAAATATTCATTCTGTTGTTATTTTTCGGTTCTAGAAATAAAAATGTTTTCATTTCATTATTTAAATATAAGTACTTTAAATACATTTCGTGTTTTTCTAAAGATAACAATGATAAGAAAACATTTGTTTTGTCATTAAGAAATGTTGGATAGATTGTAACGTTCTTTTCGAAGTTTATAAAATATAAACATATTTACAATGATAATAGTTCGCAAGAAAGTTTATATTTAATATTTTTAACACAATTATTTCTAAAAAAAATAAATTATAAAAATTTAATTAACAATAACAACCTTAAATAAATAAATATTTAAATAATATATAAATAAAGTACGCAGCGTGTCATAACAATATCGTCAAGTATATTTTTGATTTGAAATTTAAAGTCGACGATTTCTCGCGCAAATCGTGTGAAACGCATTAAGGATAAATATTCTGAAGTACTTCGGAGTAAAGATTGTCGTAGGCACTCTGTAATAGGAACACGTCAGAGGGTCTCCCGTTGAAATCGTATGGACCTTTGTTCAAGTTGTAAATATTGGAATCTGGTGCAGTAGTGGTGGTTGGTGGTCGTCGCTGTGGCTTAGGCTTGTTCTGCTTTTGTGGTTTCTGTGGGAGGGTGTACATGCCTACGGGTTTGGCGTTGGATACGTATTCTAGAGGCAAGTTGAGGAATGGTGATGTCGGCCTTTGTAAAAACGGAGGAGGCTCCAACCTTGTCGGCTGACTGACATAACCGTAACCAGGAACGAATACATAAGGTTGAGGCGGCAATCGTATAAAGTATACGGGTGAGTCTGGCTTTGCTGGTAGCCCTCTATTGGACAGAAGGTCTTCTTCTTCGTTTTGCAACCCGCCGCCGTTAAAGTGCAGCGAATTGTAATCAACATTATCCAAGTACGACGGTTGATGGAACAACGAACGACCTCGCTTGTTGCTTGACGGCGGTGGCGGCGACGAAGACGATGATTGTTCCGAGGGCGACGTTGTAGACGATTCTGATGGTGCCGGTAAAGATAAACTAGACGGTACTGTACACCATACTCCAATAATGACTACTATCAAGTATGTGAGATCCATGGCAACCGTTGACTAGCCTATAAATAAAATTAAAATGTTTTAGATATAATTTTCACTTTTTATCAACCGTAACTTAAAAGTTTTAGGAAATAGTTTTACCTTACATTTTGTCAACAAAATAAATGACAAGTAAGGTTTTAATTTAATTTGTTTGCTTTGAGAAAAAAAAAATTTAAGACAAATAAAAGAGGAATTCACTGGACATCAAAATATTAATGAAGTGAATTTGTCAACTGATAGCTATTAATTAACCATTAAATTCTGCATTTTCAATATAGACAAATTGAACAATAAATTTCACCGTCAAAGTCGAATTTTTTGACACACAGACATTGTTAACAATGACCGTTATTGTTGACTAGAAATATTAACATGATTTACACGGATAAGTTGAGTTAAAATAATTATTTTAAGTACTTTGTTTTATTGTTAATATGAACAAAATATACTTTCAAATTCTCCTTAACGCTTATCATTTTTTTATGTAATTTAACTAACCTAAATTTTTCCCAAAATTATAATTATAATTTTTAAGATAAAATAATGTAATTAACTTTCACTCCTTTAATCTTATTTACATGAATAATACTTTTTGTATAACAAATAATTAAAACGTATCAATAAAATATGTAGCACAATAATAAAAAAGCTATTTTTCTTTAATCACTTAAATTACAACAACAATAGCAGTAATCGGTGGCAGATTTATGGGGAGAGGCCAGGGGGTTTAAACCTCTAGAACACATTGATTTTTTTACATTATTTAATATTTAGGATAATACTTATATATATTCCAAGTAAATTTTACTCTTTAGGACCCCCAAAAATGTTTGAAAATCCGCAACTGGCAGTAATTGTTAAATGTTAGGATAAAAATATATATGATAATATATATAAAAAGTGATTAAGCCAAAAATTGAAATAATTTTGTGATTATTGAAAATTGTGTGAAATGAATTCGTAATAATTATTATCATAGGAAAAAATGTTCAGGCCGGGTATTACTCATTTTTGTGATTCATTAAATCAACTGCCAATAACCTGTTTGAGCAATTAATAAGATTATTTAGTATAGTAAAGCTCAATTATTACTTAAGATATTAAGGAATTTCGATCATTCAACTGTTTGATATATGGGGTTTTTAATCTGATAGCGTCAAGTGTAATAAATTATCTTTGAGTTTATAGAAATAAAGGCATAGTGTATTTATTTCCTAGGAAAACGCGATTTCATGGAACTAATAGAACACCAACGTAGCAGCTTTTCTATTATCGTTTGTTCAAAAAATACATGAGCTTATTCAATCCGGAATTTATAGTCACATTAGTTAAGTCCGCTAGGCAATATTTCACTTCTGTTATACTCGTACCCGAAAGTGTTACTAAAAACGATAATTATGCCAATGCTGACTTAATTCAAGAAATTTAGGACTTTGTGGTGAGTCTACTAAAATCAAAATATCGTTACGTGTAAAACAACATTGTCCAATCAGTGTTAGACTTGATATCGTTTCTTGTAATAGTCAAACGCCATTAAGCTCGTTGAGAACTGGTCGCATTTATTAATAGCTCTTAATTAATGAACACGTTATCGGTCAACAACTACCAATGGCTAGATAATAGGAGAACAGTGTAATTATAAATTTGAAGTATGTTGGAATCTGAAAAGAAGTTTACATCGTGTGTTTGCTCAGGAAACGAACAAGTGCGTTGGACTTGTCATGAGGGTTCGTTAGTACCGAACAAATAATCTGTGGTTTTATTGAGTAAGTGAGGTCGACCTTGGGAACGCGGGTAGATAACACGATTCGTATTAGTGTGGAGCTGTTGATCAGCTTCCCTAATAAGCTGACTGTGTGAAATTCAATTACATTTGCACACGCGGTCCGATGTGGCAAATAGGCCGTGCGGCATATACAGGCTGATTATTATATTATTACAGAAAAAATTATATTATGTAAGTCATATATAAAAACAATCACTATGTAGTAGCGTTATAATAATATTATTATTAATATTTTACGGACCGTCCGGGTCAAACGAGTACACTGGCCCGGCGCGGCCTTGCAAGGTCGAATTCTTCTTCTGGAAATCACGTCGAACCAATTACACAGCTTCAGGATCAACAATTTCTTGGAAAAAAAATATCAACCTCAGTAAAAAAACGACGTGTTCGTTTAGCTTTATTGAGTGATGGTATTACACCACTTGTTCGGCGGCTGCTTACTTTAGATCGTAAAGTGTCACCGCCGATCAGAAGATCAAGTGTTTGACATGAAGCGATGATGTCTTGAACAATTGTAAGTATCACGACAAATAGTCATTACAAAAAAATTATTCGCATTAATATTTCTTACTACCAAACTGTCACTTGTGTCATCATTGTATAAGTAGTAACGTTATTAACACTATGACTGTTATAAAGTGCACACACTTGCAAAACGAACCGGTTTTCCTTTTTTGTTTATTTATTACACGGACAAGATTATTATCGAACGTGACAACAAAATGAACCGCTAATTCTAAAAAAAAAAAGTGATCGAGACATCTATTCCATCAGCTGGTAATTTCAAAACTTGTTAAAATCGAGACCAAAAAATTAGTGGAGTATTGGCCGAGTCTATAGCTCTTTTTTATTTTCATTCTACCTTTTAACGTACTGATATATCAACGATATTTTATATAAAGGTCTTAATTACTCAGTAACACTTCGTATCGTCGGTAGTCGACCGTCGTGCATAGGTAAATGTGATTGTGTACGCACACGAGTACTTAAATTATGCACAATGGCTACTTCTAATAAGCTGCTTTTCTCCGAACGGACATGTTGTGTGTGTACAAACAACGGGAAAATATATACAAGAAAAAAAGTTCAACGGCTCCGATCGACCGAAGAATATAATACGAATATCCGTCACTTTGTGTTGTCGTTCTCATAATGTGTTTACAACATTAAAAGTCAATAAAAATGGTAATCTGTGCTTAAGCAGGAACGTATTAGAATTTGATGGATTGAATTCATCAATTACACGGAAAAACCAGCATTTTTATTGCAAACTGTATTATTATTTTTTTTTAAACCGCTTAAAATCAAACTGAAAATTATAAGTAAAAACTAGTGATGGGCATTTTCGAATATTTTAAACTATCGAATAACTATTCGAATTGTTTTTATACAACCGAATAGCTTATTTTTAGCATAAACTATCGAATAGTTTTAAAAATTATTCGAATAGTTCTACCTAAAATGTTTATTAAGTATATTTAATTATAATAAGAAGATAATTAACGAATACATAAAATAAATTATTATACAATTAATAACAGTAAAAATTAGTAATGGGCATTTTCAAATATTTTAAACTATCGAATTATGTTTATACAATCGAATAGTTTATTTTTACATACTTTGCCTATGACGGTGTACGTTTAATCAAGTTGTATTTGTCGACATAGGCGGAAATCCTGGAATAATAATAATGTTTTAGAATTCATTCGACGTGAATTTCTTTACAATTATAACTATCATTCGAAATGGGCGAAAAATTAGTGCAAGTCAAAAGTGTAACACAGGTGTTCATAAGTCGATCGTTACACTCCTACCTCATAGGTAGGAGAATGTGTGTATTCTAAATGAAACGCACACGTCGATCGTACGACTGGTCGCATGGCGGATGTCTAGCTGTGATCGTAGCAAGTCCAAATAAAAAAACGAATGAAAAAACACCTAAATCAACGTCCTTTACCTTGTAATTAACTGACCGTAGTCATCTTGGAAACGTCCGGATTGTAATGCCGACCTATGACATGCACTGCGATCGTAATAGTTGTATAAATGCGCAAAGATCGTGTGTTTTACCGCCTCCGGTCGAGATAATTTATGGTTCAAAATTCAATTATTTTTTAATTCTGCCGCGAACTGTTGCCCGAACAAGATCTGCTCTGTAACAGTGGCACAACAATCATTACTACATTATAGTCCAACCGAAGATGATTTACGAAAATATCTATCAAGTCTCGCGTGTATCGGACAAGTTTCTGGTCGGATTGATGTCAGGGCTAACTCAGAACTTTCAGTATTAATGATGTCTTTTATCATTAAGATTTTGCCCTGAGGGCTTAACAATAACACGAAAAAATAAAATAAATGTACCCTACAAAATCAGTACCTGCGATAAAATTGATGAGCACAGCCGTCACCTGTCCGCACACGAATCATTATTCTATTCGCACACATCAAATGTTGTCGCCACATTCGGATATTTCAAACGATTGTCATTAATATTGTTTTCTCTTTTTCGAAATGCCGTGTCGTACTACATAAATAATATGTCATGTGTATAGGGCAATACATAACCGCTACAAAATATTCCTCAAATTGTAGACCACTAGCAAGATTAGCTATTGATGTATGGTGTATGATATTAAATATCGTACACCTATATGAATATTACGGTCCTCTTGTGTACAATAAGAAAAAATAATGTACGGTTTTTTAAATTGTGATTTCCGGTCAAGCCATCGAATAGTATGCAATCGAACAGCGCCATCCGCAGCCAGTCGATTAATAATAATTATTATCTAGTAATTTGTAAAATTATTTTAGATTTATTTTATACGTTTGTTACAAATATAATTTGTAACTAATTAAATAGCGTTAAACTAAAAATTGTATAACGACCACGCGTGTAACTGTAAGAGTTTAAAATTCAACATTTGGAATATTAAATAAATTTTTAAATACAAAAAGATAAGTTAAAAACAATCTGACATCTAAGGAATGGAATGTGCTGATTTTTATATTCGATAACAATTAAATGATAGTTTAAAAAATGGAAATAAAGTTTATGACACGGTAAGAATTTTTTCATATTTGAAATAAAAAATTTATCATCATATTAGATTAAAAATTTGATAAATTGTAAAACTTCAGATTTAATTAAAATTAAATAATTATTTTCAAAAATTTCAGATTTTAGCCGTAGAAAAATATTTTAGTATGTTTCAAAATTAATGT